TTTACCGCGCTCGAAAGTGCATACAGTCATAGGAGCGTGCGGGACACATTAAACGTTTTCAGTTGGTAGGAAATTTTGAGTTCACCCGGGGGGCGGCCGAAGCCTACTCTTATCAGTTTTAGACCACCAATGGATCTTTAACGTGCGCAACTTGAACATGAGTCCTCCGAGATTTTTCACCCTTGTCTGAGAAAGCTAGATGTAGATCTTTCCTACCAGAAGATCAGGGCTGTGGCTGAAAGGCAGCTTTAAGAAGGAGCCAAAAGGTAGCAGTACAAAGGCTGCAGAAAGAGTCAGGAGCCCAGAGCAGGGGGCAAAGGAGGTGAGAGGGTGGGTTCAGAAAGAGGAGACGAAAGCAGACTACAGAATATTGCTGGAGAGCATGGAAGGAGGTGAAAGGAGACAATTTTAGAGAAGAATTGTTTTCGGTCGCTACCCGGATTCGAACCTGGGACCTTTGAATGAGAGGCGAACACCTTAACCTCTAGGCCACGGGAGCCCCTGTCTCTGGCTTTGTCTTACAGGAGCAGGAATCTGTGGCCTGTGATCAGTGGGATGAGGGAAGAGATGAAGGGCGTTCTCCTTTGGCTAATGTAGCTTATTTAGTCGCTTTCAAGCACAAGGGGGCTATCCCGAAAACTACTGTTTTGAGAAAATCGAAGGTAAAGTTTCTTACCCCCCCCCGTTCCAGTAAATACGTTTATCCAGTGTTTAAGGCCATTGGCCCACATCACATAACATAAAACACTCATTTGATAAGTAAAGTTTCCATGATGAATAAGTACAGGTTGTGCACATGTCTCTTGTCATGGGTCAAACATTGCATATTTCTGTCACTGGGCAGAGACAGGCTGGGAGGGGATTAACAATTTCCTTTGAGTGACAGTTTCTTCTCCCCCCCCCCCTTCCCCTGTTCAGATTCCTTAAAAGACAAGGAGAGTTTTTTCAATAACCAAACAAATACACAAAACAATGAAACCAAACTTCTCCTATAGGCAGGGCAATGCCCACTTTTGGTGTAGGTCAAAATTTCTGGAAACTTGAAATATTGGTTAGCCCGCTTGTCCTTAAAAGCGACCATAGCATTGCCACAAACAACGCCTGATTTTGAATACGCAACACCTCTATTGACGTCATTTAATACTTTATATAAGGCAGGCTGCTTTGACTAGCTTCTGTCTGGACTAATCCAGGCTGAGTGATTTAAAAAAATGTTTGCTGTTGTTGTTGTTGGTGGTTTTTTGGGTTTGTTTGTTGATGTTTTTTGTTTTTGTCTTCGTCAGAGCTTGTCCACCTTGGCTCACTCTTGCCGCATTTAGGATTACGAAGCTAAATTAATTTTTGCACTGCCCACTTTATTAATTGTAACAAGTGGGGTATTAGTAGTCCTACATATCGAAAGGATGCCAACTGTAAATCGATCCACTTCATGAAATTAGGGCTACAATAAATTGTAGTTGCATAATAATATGCTGCCAAAAGCTCATTTCGACTCTACGAAAAAAAAATGTATTTGAACTGGGCAAAAAGATAGAAGAGAAAAGACCACTTCGACCTAAAAAGAAAACAAAGTCCAGCTAAAGCCTTAGGAAAGATCCTGATTGCAAGCAGAGACGAAAGAGGGCCGAGCAGTGGCGGTGGGTAGAGAAGGGCTCACGGGCTGAGCCCCCCTCCCCACCCCCACCCCCCAACTTGATCCCTAAGTAAATGAAGATAATGAAATAAGCAGTTGAAACCGTTATGATCGCACGCAATGAACAAAGAGTAATCAATTTGGCGGCTTGCTCGTTTATCCAATCACTGTTGTCACCGCTTACAACTATAGTAACCTAACAGCCAATCAAATGTCTTTAGAGCTTAGAAAAGACAAGCCCGTTCCCACGATCCCCCCATAATGAAACCCTTCTTGTAAAAAGGTAGAAGACTTGAAAAAAATAACAACACTGCACAGAGGGTTCACGCTCTCCTAGCCCTGATGACAATGGGGTGAAAGTTTACGACACACTTTCCCCCAGTGATACAGTTACCTATGAGTTCATTGGACCTTTGTTGTGCGCTGTACTTTCCGCGACTACTCGGCCTAATCCAGCTAATGGACGGTATATGTTTGGAGTGCTCTGTGTACATGCCGCTGAGATTTAACAGTTATTAATTACATCAAACCACTTTTGAGGCAACTTTTTCATTGGATGAAAATTAATTAGAGAAATTTGGAGGTGAAACGGCTTCGTCCCCACCATCCAGAAGAATTTAAACAAGGAGATGGGATACAAAGGTGACTCGTCTCGTTTGAATGCTTCTAGAAATGCCGTGGCTCGCCGTGAGTATAAAAAATTATCACTGTTTTGTTCTTATTGCTTGCTATAATTTGGTGGTAAAGAAGTGGACGCAACTAAAGCCCCACCCAAATTTGGGTCCGCCCAC